TTACGACGTCGCTACTCCTGCGTACTATTGGATCTATTCAGCTTTTACAGCTTTAATATTTTTTAATCTTTTTATACACAACCTACCTCAGGCAGGTCTTGTCTTATTCTTCTTTTATACAAGCAGTCGGACTGGTCTTTGCTCGAACTCGACAGCTTTGGAACGATAACCGAAAGGACATTTGGAAAGAAACGGAATCTCTCTCTCTCGCACACACACACACACACAACCGACATAATGCCTTCATTCACAAAGACACTTGGGGTGGTTGTTGCGGGACTTGCGGCTGTTGCTTCGGCCCTCCCATCAATTCCCAAGCTCAACAAGGCCCAGCTGAAGATGTACCAACACGCGAAGCGTCAAAACGCTGCTGCTCAGGCTCTTGGTATCAACGATCTTGACATTCTTCAATTGTGAGTTGACCTCAATCAAACCAGTCCCATGTAGCCAACTTTGACACTAACCTACCCTCCAGCGCCCTCACCCTCGAATGGCTCGAAGCAGCCTTCTACCAGCAAGGCTTCGCCCGCTTCCCTGTCACCGACTTCCAAGCCCTCGGCCTTAACGAGCGCCAAATCGAGGACCTGACCAAGATCGGCAAGACCGAAGAGGAGCACGTCGTGCTTCTCCAATCCGCCCTCGCCCAGGCCGGCGTCCAGCCCGTCCAGCCGTGCACATACAACTTCGGCTTCACCGACGCCGCCGGCATGGTCGCCACCGCCGCCGTCCTCGAGAACGTGGGTGTATCCGCCTACCTCGGCGCCGCCGCCCTCATCTCCGACGGCTCCATCCTCACCACCGCCGGCTCCATCCTCACCATCGAGGCCCGCCACCAGACCTTTGTCCGCGCCGCCAGCGGGGTGGTTGCCGTCCCCCAGGCGTTCGACACCCCTCTCACGCCGAAGCAGGTCTTTTCGCTCGCTGCGCCTTTTATCGAGAGCTGCCCTGAGGGGTCGAACTTGATCTTGACTGCGTTCCCATCCTTGGCCTTGGGCGCGGGGATTGACGCGGCGACTGTTACTGCTGGTACTGTCATCCGGTTGGAGAGCGAGGCTGCTGCCGGGGCTACGCACTGCGGCTTCACTACTGGTGGCAACCCCGGCGGTACCGTCTTCACTACCTTCACGCAGGAGGCCGGGTGCGAGGTGCCCCAGAACTTGGCCGGTGTCACCTATGTCAGCTTGACCAGCGCGGGTCCTTTGACGGGTGTGATTACCGATGAGATTACCGTTGCCGGGCCTATGGTTATGCAGGTGTCATAAGCGGCTGGTTAGCTGAGCTGGCTGCGGGTTGACGAGTCGAGACTTTTCTTTTTCTTTTTCTCTTTTCCCTCCTGGGCTTCTGATGGTTGTTGATAAAAGGGGGAATAGGGGTTGGGAGTCAATTGGGGGGGAAAGGGGGGATGGAAAAGCGGAAGAGCTTAGACCGAGACGCCTTTTGTTTAAAAGAAAACAAAAAACAAAACAAAGCACGACTTTCGATTCTTTCATTTCTCTTCTACCTATTACCTAAACTCTCTCCGCCGTATACCACCGACATTACCATGTTACGACTGCTACATACTTCCTCTTTCACTCTCACCCCTTTTATCTTTTGAAATTATAAACTATTTTTACTGGGACGTTTTGTCCTCTTTTTTGTTTGCGCGTTTTGAGTTTTGCCTTCTGATGTTGGTCTGTTTGTATATCTTCTCGTCCGTTCTGTCCTTGAAGTTGTGATGGATGATGGTATGCTGTGTGCTTTTGGTTATTCAACTGTTTGAGCTGTCTGTTGGGAGTGAAGACTGGAAAAGAGAAGGAGATACCCGCCTTTGGTTTTGTCTATGTTGTTGTCTTTTTCGAAGCTGCAAATTGGTTTTGGTCAGTTGTATATGAGATGATGGATAACCAAGTGAGACTGGGCAAAATGGAAGTTGGGTGATGAATGAGATAAGACACATGCTGGGATATAGCCTAAGGAATGTAAGGAGCTGCTGGAAGATGTAGTAGGTAGGGAAAATTAAAAAGCTAGTTTGCAATGTAGAGTCAAAGACTGCTGGGATGGAAGGTGCACTGTCGGCTCACGTGCATGGCGATATGAATTCGGCCCACGGCCTGGTGGTGATATGATGTGAAAATAATGGAGAGCTTGACCTGAAAGGTAGGTTACTGGCATTCGAGTGTTGGGGATCATACACTGTCCAAGGTTGTCGTCTTATGATTTGACGAGGTGGTGTGTCACGCTGCCCCTGCATCCCTGAATCGGATGAAATGCGTCTGTGTCTGTTGCTCGTAGACGTAGGACAGGTACGTACTTGTGAGCGTGTGGTTCTCAGCTTCCTTTCACCTGTCTCGTTCCTGAATAGGAGACAACCAATCCCGTCAAAGGCTAGACAAGAACCACATTCTTCTCCTTGTCACGGGGAAGGGAGGGTTGTATGTTTAGTCCAGACTTGATCAAGGGTTTCAAACTAGTAGTTTGCAAACACCCTGAAGCATGTGAAATTTGAGGAAACCAAGAAAGCTATATCTAGCTTGGTTACCAGGGTCCCTTGGGTATCTAAGTAAGCTGTAGGGGACTTGCCATGCAAGACATTTGTGAGGTTTTACGGTCTGAAGATTCATGCAACTCTAGGCCAGCAGTGCGTTTTGAATCAGAAAGAGACGAGAGAAACTGTGCAAAGATGATGAAAGGTGGCGTGGGAGCAATGGTGTAAGAGCAGTGGTTTAAGTGCAGTTATGTAAGAGCAACAGATACACAGTAACCATAAGAATAGTAGTGTAAGAGCAACTGTGGAAGGAAAATCGTGAGAATAGTCGTGTGAGAGATTTTGTGGAAAAGTAGGTCTGCAAGCGCTGCCCTGTAAGTGCCTGGAGTCCTGTACCCACTGAGATAAATTCTATCAAAAAGGTATTAGATGGGATGCCGAATGAGACTGAAGGGATGAGAGACGATAAGTTCTAACACGAAAATGAGAGCATATGAGTGAGGGCACATGAATGAGAGCACATGAATGAGAGCATGTAAACTAGAGCCTGCTAAAAGAACCAACCAACAAAACCCCACGACAACCTTTGATGACAGGATACATGTAATCAAGGCTTACACAGGATAGCTCAGCCTGAATATACTCATGCCGCATATACCTGCCTGACTTATATAAGTAAACCGAAAACAAGACAAAAGCACACGATGAGAGGTCCCACGTCACCATAAGCAAATCTCACTCTATCCACCTTTATCACCCCCGATATCACAAAAAACTTGAAGAAACACCGCCAACATTTCAACTCACCCGCAACAGACAACCCCCCTCTTATATCACCACCCCAACAAAAGAACATCAGTCCTCTCACCAGCCCAAAGTACACCAACAGGCCACACCACCCCCTAAATAATCTTATCAGATCAGTTTCCTCCGACAGACATGCCGACACTCACCCAACTTCACCATCACCCTGATTATCTTATCAATCTCATCTCCCTCAGCCAAGCGCACCGAGCCTGACATCCCCCTACTAGTCACATCACCCCAACAGGTACAGATTATCTTATCAAATGATCTTGCACACGCGCCGCCGTTTCCCCCAAAGCCGAAATAGACTCATTCTTGGCTTTTGCTCTTTCACATGTTATTTTTAGTGGTAGTAGGGGATCACGGCAGCAGCGGCAGCAAAGAGGTACGTAGATACGTACCTATCCAAGGTACGTACCCACGTGCTAGACTGCCTACCTACCTTATACGCAGGGACCGTCTTCTCTTTTGGGGAATGTATGTCCTCTTGTCATGGACAGATCTGGCCTAGATGGGTTGCAGGAGGCTTGTTTGTGCGACTGCAGATTGACGGTGTCATTGTGAAGCTTAAATTGTCGGAGATAGCAGGACTGGCATGAACAAAACGGTGGAAGTGAAGAAGAGGAGAAGGAGGACGAGGAAGAGGAAGAAGAAGAGGGTTTGGAAAGATGAGACGACGAATATTCTCGACCTGGTCTGGTCTGGTCTCTAGACAACCTGAGACGAGACGAGACAAGACGGGACGGAGGCGCTCGCAACAGCGAGGAATTCGCCGACGAGAAAGGGCTCGCCGAGCTGAGTGTTCCCCTTCAACATACCTAAACCCCACGTCCCATGTTGATGTCCCTCTCGGCCGAGGTCGTTGTCGTCGTCCTCCTCCGTTACACACAACCACCAGGTACCCGTTGACATTCTTGCTGCTCGCTCAGTCCCGCCGCTCCGGTCCTTCCGACACCATCAAAACCACACAGCATGCATTCATGTAATGCAACCTCCCCTCACTGGCTCTCATCCTCAAACAAGACCCTGGTGTTTTCTTATCTGATCACCGTCCCGCGCGCGTGTCATGCCCACACATACATTAAATCTAGAAATACATCGAAAAGAGCCGCGTCAAGCCGTTTCCTTCCGAGATCCCTCTCTCCCCCGGTCCCCAGTCATCTAGTTCTAGTCCCCGTACCTTCTTCATCATCGGGCCTGGCTCCGAAACTCCGCCCACTACACTACCCAAGCGCCGTTCGCACTTACGCCGGCCGGGGGATCTCGGGGCTCGGGGCGAAGAAACAGAACAAATCAACACAACACCCCAAAGCTCGTCGTCAGGCATCATCATTTGACTTCTGCCCAGCAGTTCGAGAAAAGCATAGGTGCTGCTGGGTTGGTCCACACCCTGGTTGCTAGAAAAGATGACGAAAGTTCCAAAGAACAATTCTCCCCCCATATTTGTTTCTCACCAGCTAGAGTATACCAAGGATAAACCCCAAACCTACTCCGATCTACGGACGCTCCGTCATATTCAAGATGAGGAGGTCGTTCGGTAGTTTTTTTCCCTGGTGGTGAGGAACAAACAGACAAAAAACCCAACACCTAGATCGTATTTTCCGTCGGCCGTTTTTTCCCAACTCATCGTCAAAGTCGGGATATCCTTGACCCCATTGGGGTAGGGTTCCCCATGAGGAAGGGATGTCCCTGGTTGAATTTAAAGAGGTTACGATTTGTCGGATTTTCCCGTGTGGATACAAAACAGATCTTGGGAAAGTCTTGGTTACCCACTGGTCGAGACCAAGAGCCATGGCGCAGCTTGAGGGATATCACGCCCGAGTGCGTCATCGAAAGGAGACAGAAAGTGAAATGCAAGGAAATGCAGGCTGCAAGACATCATGACGACGGAGGTGCCGAATGGTGGTGTCCTGCCTGCCTTATGTTCAGCTCGACTACTAGACACATTAATCACCAACAACAGCTTGCTCTGCCCGATCTCGAAACATGTCCTTCCATGTTGGTCTTCCGTTTATGTTTGAGCGATATTTGTGACTTTGACAGCTGAATGGGGTTTGGCAGTGTTGGTTAGGTAACAAGGGCTCGACGTCCAAGATGGCCGGGAGAAGCCAGCTTCAAATAAATGCCTATCAGTGGTCAGTTGGGAATTGGTTACCAGTTCACATTACAACTGCACAGATAGCAGCAAATATTACCTGCTGCAAGACCGGAGGCTGATCAGCCAAACCGCAACCCTCAACCCTGCCGTCGTCGTGTCGAGGAGCTCGTCTGCCTTTTCAATGACTAAACGCGGGATGCGCCGGAGGGAAGCGGACATGAGGGACATGAGTAGCGTAGGACGGCCACTAGGACTCCAGCGACGTCGGAGTCGCACGAAAATGAGCCGGGTGATTCTGCGTCGTTTTTGGCGCCGCTTCCCTGTCCTGCGCCGATGTCCTCGCAGAATGCTAGCTCCCGTCGACCCCGCAGCCCTTCGTGAGCACCATCCCACCGGCTTTGACCCAGAAAAGGGCGGCCAATCAGTGTCGTCGGATAAGAATGAGGGCCTGTCCCAGTGGCGCCGCGGCGGCATCTTTTGATCCTAGCCTGTCGTCAGCGAGGCCGGGGCCCCCTGCCAGATGTCATGCCAGGGTCCAGGACAAGCACGCGAGCTTTTCCTCATTGTTCAACCACCCGTACCCTCCAGTGGCCCCCCCGAGCCCCCCCATATGGACCCCCAAACTGCCCCCCCATTCGACTGCAACCTCCACGCACCACCACGCCCCGAGATGGGCAGCGAGCAGCACCGCCTAGCCCTTTCCAAGCTGCCGGGCAGCCAATCAGCAATGCTATGTGACGACAGTATGTGTAGACCAACGCGGGGCATTGCCTATTGCAGGAAAATATCTCATCCCACGGCCGATATCGTCTGGTTTTCCAAAGGGGAAATAGGCATCATGATATGTATGGCAAAAAGCAAATACGACCCGACTGGCGCGGACGTCGTTCCACATGTCAAGACGCTGGAACTGTGCGCCGTGCTTCTAACGCACGAGCGATAACCGGCGCTCCCTGAGTAAATCCTCGCCAAAACGTGGCCACTCGACCCAGCACAGGGACTCCCCCGCGCTGCCTGTTGACGACCATCCCAGGAGAAAAACGCAAGGCTCTGGATAATAGTGTGAAACGGAGCTACACTATTGTGCTCCTGTCGGTAGAGAGAACTGTGTAGCTAGGAACAGGGGACCAGGAAAAGGCTTGGTTCTGTCGTCCCATGAAAAAAAGAGACCATCGCTATTCGGGCTTTCAAACGTTGCCCCCCCCCTCCCCCCCACCACCGGCCTTTCGTGCGGGTGTCTATATTATACTCGTCCTTTCCCTTCGTCCCATTGTGCTCGATTGTCCTCTTCTCTTCCCATTCATTCTTCGTTCGACAGCGTACGAGTTCAACAGTTGATACCCTCGACACATTTCCGCATTCCAACAACAACAACAACAACAACAAGAACATATACCCCTAGATACCCATTCAACACTCGTCACAATGTCCAACCTTCCTTCTGAGCCCGAGTTCGAGCAGGCCTACAAGGGTGAGTTTCCATGAGAGCCAAGCCTTGGGGCACTGGTCCGCCAATGGCTCGTGCTGACTCGTGAACCCGACAGAGCTCTACTACACCCTCGAGAACAGCACCCTCTTCAAGAAGAACCCCGAGTACCGCACCGCCCTCAAGGTCATCTCCATCCCCGAGCGTGTCATCCAGTTCCGCGTCATCTGGGAGGACGACAATGGCGACCTCCAGGTGAACCGTGGTTATCGTGTCCAGTTCAACTCGGCCCTCGGCCCATACAAGGGTGGTCTCAGACTTCACCCCTCCGTCAACCTTTCCATCCTCAAGTTCCTCGGCTTCGAGCAGATCTTCAAGAATGCCCTCACTGGCTGTAAGTGACAGGCAACTTTGCCTCCTGTATGGCGAGCACTCGCTAACCAACTCGCAACAGTGATGATGGGTGGTGGCAAGGGTGGTTCCGACTTCGACCCCAAGGGCAAGAGTGACAACGAGATTCGCCGCTTCTGCGTTTCCTTCATGCGCGAGCTCGCCAGATACATTGGTGCCGATACCGATGTTCCCGCTGGTGATATCGGTGTTGGTGGCCGCGAGATCGGTTACATGTTCGGTGCCTACCGCCGTGAGCGCAACAAGTTCACTGGTGTCCTTACCGGCAAGGGTCTCCACTGGGGTGGCTCTCTCATCCGTCCCGAGGCCACTGGTTTCGGCCTCGTCTACTATGTCGGCCACATGCTCGAGTATGCTGGTGTGACCGATGGCTGGAAGAACAAGCGCGTCTCCATCTCGGGCTCCGGCAACGTCGCCCAGTATGCTGCCCTCAAGGTCATCGAGCTCGGCGGCAAGGTCGTCTCTCTTTCCGACTCCAAGGGCTCTCTCATCGCCACTGGCGAGCAGGGCGTCACCCCCGAGGATATCGCCGCCATTGCTGAGCTCAAGCTCAACCGCGGCTCTCTCTCCGACTACAGCCACAAGGACAACCTCAAGTACATTGACGGTGTCCGTCCCTGGGTCCACGTCGGCAAGGTCGACATTGCTCTCCCTTCGGCCACCCAGAACGAGGTCAGCAAGGAGGAGGCCGAGGCTCTTGTCGCCGCCGGCTGCAAGTTCATTGCTGAGGGTTCCAACATGGGCTGCACTCTCGAGGCCATCGAGGTCTTTGAGAACGAGCGCCGTGAGAAGAAGGGCGAGGCCATCTGGTATGCCCCTGGCAAGGCCGCCAACTGCGGTGGTGTCGCCGTCTCCGGTCTCGAGATGTCCCAGAACAGCCAGCGTCTCGCCTGGACCAAGGAGGAGGTTGACAGCAAGCTCAAGGAGATCATGAAGTGCGCCTTCTTCCAGGGTCTCAACACGGCCAAGGAGTACGTCGAGGCCACCGAGGGCGAGTATCCCAGCTTGGTTGCCGGTTCCAACATTGCCGGTTTCGTCAAGGTCGCCCGTGCCATGAAGGAGACCGGTGACTGGTGGGACAACCAGCTCAACAAGGAGGCTGCCGATGCCGAGGTCACCTCCGATTCTGGCTTTGCCGCTTAAAGCGATGATCCAGTGGTTGCAGTTCAGCCCAAGGCAGAGTAGCTGTATGTGTTGCTGGATAGGCATCCGACGCTACCCGGGCTAGAACCAGGGTTGCAGAGGCACCACCACACATCCGTATGTGGGTGACCAAGTGCCGAGCCATTCCCATCAGGATGGCGATCTGGCCGCCACCTCGATGATGACGCCGCCGCTCTTTGCGGCACGCCCATCGGTGTGGGATTGTGATTTTTCTCATTGGGCGTTTTCTGGACCCATTGGCGTCATGGGGGTTCTTGGGTGCTGGGTATGGAGTTTGAAGGGATCGGACGGGATGGCCGGGACGAGGTTACGACTTTCATCTTCTTCATCTTCATCTTCCACCCCCATCTTCCCATTGGCAGCTCGGTGAGTAACAACCACGCCTGTGCCTCCTGCACAGTCGGGGAGAGAATTGAACCGAGCGGGCCTTACCGACAACGTCATTGCTGTTCTGCTCCTGCGGGAGGCAGAATAAGCTTGTAAGCTTGTTGGAGTTGGGCGTGGATGATGGTGTGTGTGTGTGTACCTGTTCGTGTTCTTGTTATGGTTTTTAAGGTTCTCACACCAAGGGGCATAGACGGCATTTGGGAGGGATAGCGTGTCGTGCATGGCGCAGGGAAGGAATCTGTAGAATAGAGTTGGGGATGCCCCAAGCATAAAAAGAATATAAACACAATAAAAATTATAAAAAATATAAAAAATAAAAAGAACAGAAACTGCAAGTGAAGTCGATGTTCGGAATGAAGTGAATTGAGAAGCAAAGCACGCCATTAATGAGACACCATGCCCTTTCCGTGTTATCAAGTGTTATCAAATGGGCAGCTGACCAGCACAAATTGACCCGGGACCTCGGAAGGGACAAGTCGTGGCTCCTTCCCAGAATCAAACTTCCCCATGGGGTAGAGAGCGTAAAAGCCAATCAGAGAAGGTCTGATTGCTGGATATCAGCGATAAGGCCCGGAGCGATATCAAGCGATATCTCCAGCTGTCTTTCTCCAAAGAAGGTTACGTCGGGACAATCGGCGTTTTCGTGACAAATTTCCATGAATAACACCTGTCGTGGACTTGACGTTGTGCAACACTCTTCCAGGACATCGCAAGCAAAGCAAGCGAGGAATACGTTGAACCCAAAACACCGAACTGAAAGCCACAGCGACACAAAGAGCCACACTTGTCGCCGACCGCCCACCCACCCCCTTGACGCCGCACCCTCGCAACGCTATTGGGCAGTTTTCCACGTCGTTGTCGTGTGGTCGAGATGGAGACAGAACCGCCCGAACTAATTTGGGCGAATTGGCCAATCGGCTGACAGATGTCAATATACCCAGGACAAGGTGGTGGCACCGAAAGGCTGTGCAACGGCCTCGAAACAGTTACCTTCTCACCGGAATCCAATCGTCGTCTCGCCCAGCTCAAAGGCTGAGATTCCCGAAATATGTCGAGTCACTCGAGTTTTGCGAATCAGGAACAGCAGTCTATCTACTACACCTGATTATACGGGCAATGCGACGACGACGCCCTCCTGATATCCTCAGAATGAAGATCCAGTCATGATAAGAGTCATTGATGGACCGATCAGTTATCAGCCTTGTGGCTTTGCCTTGACCGTGTGTGTGGGTGTCAATCAGGCATCAAACTGCATGGGGTGTGATTGGGGGCCTGAGGCCGTCAGCTCGTTGACGTCGTTTTTGACGTCGGTCGCCCGTTGCCCATACGGACGGGCTCTGCAGTTTATACAGTATTTCCAAACAGTGTCCGGTGAGCCCAAGGGCCAGACTGTTGGGCCTCGCTCGCATTGCGACATCTCGATCTCCAACACGCAAACCATCGACTGCCGAGCACAGCGGGCCGGCCCCCCCGACCTTTAAGGAGGCCAGGGGTAAAGTCTTGGTTTGACAGCGCCCCTGCCTTTATCGGAAGGATTGAGTTATCAAACATCTGGTCGTGATCAGAGCGCTAACTCTTCGCAAAGCATTGAAGGAGGGCATTGAGATGAAAGGTACTGATACAAATAACGATTGCTCGAGATCCGAGTAGAAACTGCAACATGATGAAATGGAAAAGCTGCGAGTTGCGCTCCCGAGTAAATCGGCTACGACGGCTTGCAACATCGCCGACTTCTTTTTGCTGTAGCCTATCACGACCCGCTCGTTTCCGGTCCAATGAACGCAGCATCAGCACTATCAACCCTGGCCACCACGAAAAGGGCCCTACCTCCGCTGCCGTCCCGAAGGCAGCAATGAGGGATGGCTACGGTGATCTCTGCTACAAGCTGCCAGTCAGAGCCCCTAAATGATTGCGGATAGATTGCCCGTGCAGTCGGGATTCGTCGATCTGTCTGAGACACCATCTATCTTATGGGCTGAGTTTGCATACAGCCAATCGACATCCTTTTGCGTCCGTCATAGATTCCAGCTTGTGGAGGAGGGGAACGGAAAGAAGGGGGGGAGGCGCTCCAAAAAAGACGTCTTTCCACATGACATCGTCGCCGTTGCGAGCCTTGTTCCTCAGCCACAAGGCAGCATTTGAAAGATGGTCACCATTCGCGACTCCAAGACTGACATGCCTCTTTCGGAGATGGCTCCCAGGTGTCTCCCATGTCTGGTTCACCCGTCGCGGTGGACCACCCTACCCTGGACCCCTTGTCCACCCTCCATCGCCTGGTAGGGTGGAAGGATGCCAGCCAATGACAGCCTCCTGTCAGCAATGGTTGAAGATTTTACTCAGCCCAGCCCAGCCCAGGAGTAGTCCAACAAATGAACTCGGGCTGACGAGCTGCGCCCTGACCGAATATTCTTGGGGTCAGCAAAGGGTAGGGGCCGAGGCTTGTAATTTGGTATTCCCCCACATGGAGACTGCATACAGTCTGCAAACTGGTAGGGATGGCGTGACATTGTATGCTCAATACACATCTAGCGCCCTTCTACCGACGGTATCGAAGATGTTTGGCCCAGACAAAGCCACACCAGTCTGGGATCGCGCCTCTATCATGCCGATAGCCCCCTCGGACGAGTCGCCCAGAAACTGGGAACCTTTATCAAGATCTCACAGCCTGCTTCAAATCCTCGAGGCTTTTTCCTGCTTCTCTCACCCTACCTGCCTACCTACCTACCTACCTACCTACCCCCTTTTCTTGTGTTCCCATCTCATACAGCCAACATACTCTCTTACTTGAACTATTGTTCCTTTGTGTGACACGGATTGGCTTTTCCTTCCCAGCCAACTTCCCTGATAGTGGACACGACCGTATTGGTATCCGGGCAGGCCAGCTCACCGACCACAATGGACAAATCCGAGAGACAAAACCCTTCGGAGATGTTGGGAGCCCATCCCAACGGACCGAACGGGCCCTACACACCTCCTCTCACCCCAGCCCTTCACATTGATAGCCCTGGCACCACCGACACCAGAGGCCAGCTCTCCATCGACCATCTTCACATCGTCCACAGTCCAGCCGATTTGACGCATGACAGCGTAAGGAACCGGACAGAGACAGAGCCCAACCTGCGACACAGAAGAGTCCGAACCGCCGACTCGGAATCCTCTTCCTCAACCGAAGCAGCCATGTCCAGCTCCTCCTCCAGCCCCAACCCCCGAGCAGCCTCTGTCTTTAGCACCCAAACCCTCATCAGCGAGGAAACCGCCCCTCCTCCCAGAGCCACAACCCCCTCCCGCCAGGACTCCCACCCCATCGAAACCTACGAGGGCCACCAGCAAGACCCCTCCCCTCACAGCACCTCCCGGGCCAAGATCAGGGGGTACACCGACGGGAGAGACGACAAGGCTTTTCCTCGCATCTCCAAGCCGCTTGAGCTGCTGAGGGGATCGTACGACGTGGTTGTGATCGGATCTGGGTATGGCGGTGGTGTTGCCGCCTCCCGCATGGCGAGGACGGGGCAGTCGGTCTGTGTGCTTGAGAGGGGGAGGGAGAAGTGGCCGGGGGAGTATCCTACCGGCGCGGTGGAGGCGTTCAAGGAGCTGCACTACTCGGGGCAGCTGGCGCCGGCGTTTTTAAAGGGGAAGCTGGTGGAGGGCGGGAACCCTACCGGCATGTATCATATGATTTTTGGGAAGGGACAGAATGCGGTTGTTTGTAACGGTGAGTCTTGATCTGAAGTCCGGGTTAGGGGTTTCTTTTGTGCTGACGTTGAACAGGTCTCGGTGGCACTAGTCTGATCAATGCGAATGTGTTTATGGAGGCGGATAAGCAGACGCTGTCTATGAAGCCCTGGCCTAAGGAGATTAGGGAAAACCCAAAGGGCTTGGATAAGTGTGAGAACCCCCATTGCATCTAGGATACGATGGAAACGTGTGTGCTGACAGTGATGGCTTAGACTACAAGAAGGTGGAACAGGTCCTTGAACCTACCGAGTACCCCAGCGAGTGGCCCGAACTCCCCAAGACCAAAGTCTTCAAGGAACAAGCCGAAAACCTGGGCATGGGTCACAAGTTCAAGAAGGTCAAGCAGACAACACGCTTTCGCAATGGTCCCAACAGCTGCGGCGTTGAGATGTCCCCATCCAGCCTCACAGGCCAGGACGCCACGGGGGTCAACGACGGCTCCAAAACCACCACCCTCGTCACCTACCTAGCCGACGCCTGGAACTGGGGCGCCGAAATGTTCTGCGAGTGCGAGGTGCGGTATATCCAAAAGGACGAGAAAGAAGGCTACCGCGTCTTCTTCGCCTGGCACGGCAGGAACCGCGGGCTCTTCAAAGGCTATCTTCACAACGACCTTATGTGGGTCCATGCGAAAAAGGCCGTCTTCCTCGGTGCCGGCGCCATCGCTTCGACCGAGATCCTACTCAGGAGCAAGGCTATGGGCCTTTCCATGAGTGACAGTGTCGGACAGAACATGAGCGGGAACGGCGACATGTTGGCGTTTGGATACAACACCGACAGACACGTCAACGGGATGGGCAAGCCGGTCCCGTCGCCGTATAACCCCATCGGGCCAACGATTACGAGTGTGATTGATAACCGGGAGGGACACGAGAACCCGTTGGATGGGTATGTGATCGAGGAGGGGGCTATTCCCCATGCTCTGTCGCATCTTTTCCAGGTCATGTTGGACTTCATGCCGGGAAAGAAGGACCCGAGGGATGATACTATCATCGAGAAGACGCAGGCTGCTCTGGCGAGATGGGGTTCTAGACTTTTGGGACCCTACTTCAAGAATGGCGCTACGGAACGGACGCAGGTGTATCTGGTCATGTCGCATGACAGCAATCAGGCCATGCTGTCGCTGAAGGACGACAAGCCCGTTCTAGAATTCCTCGGCGTCGCTCGCAGCCACCACGTCAAGAAGCTCAACAACATCTTGGAGCGGGCGACAGAGTATGTTGGAGGTACCTTGGTACACAGCCCCTTTTACGGGATCATGGGCCAGCAGATCACGGTTCATCCCATTGGGTAAGTTTCTTTTTCGTCTTTTCCTCCGAATGTACCACGTTGCACCGACGGAAGTTTTCTTCTTTTTTCTGACCCAAATTTAGTGGTGCCTGCATGGCTCGAGACAATACGGGGAGGACTGGTGTTACCAACCACGTCGGTCAGCTCTTTAGCGGAAACGGAGCGGAAGTCCATGACGGGTTTGTGGTTACAGATGCCTCTGTGATTCCGACTGCGCTGGGTGCCAACCCTTTTGCCACTATCGCCGCTTTGGCAGAACGATCGGTGGAGGCGTACTGCGAGTCCAAGGAGCTCAAGATTAGCGAGGAGAAGAATGGCATTCTCAACTTGCTCGGGGAGCCGGCGCATGCTCCCAAGCGGTGCAGGCCCAAGCAGAGGCGGGAGCAGTTGAAGGCTGAGGAAGAGCTGATCAGCATTCAGACGGCAAAGAAGGTCATGGACAAGGCTCGGATTGTCAAGGCTAGCGGCATTGGCTTTACCGAGGTCATGTCTGGCTTTCTTCATGCTGATACCAAGATGACCGAGGATAACCGGGCGACGTATGAGCTTGCTCATCGCATTGGTAAGTCGCTCTGTGAGAGCGCGAGGTTCTTCCTCAGCGTGCAGTCTTTCAACACCAAGGAGATGATCAGCCATGTGCAGCATCGTGGGATGCTGACCGGCACTTTTGTCTGCCCGGCCATTCGTGGGTCCCCGTTCATGGTGCAGAGAGGAGAGTTTAATCTGTTCATTCTCAACTCCAAAGCTCCGGGGACTCGCAACCTGACCTACGACTTTGACATGACTGGTGTCGATGGCAGGAGGCTGCACTTCCACGGCTACAAGGTGGTTGACTCGTCGGTTGCCCTGGCCCCTATCCAGTTCTGGAAGGCAACCAGCACCCTCTACGTGACCATCAGCGAGCACGTCCCAGGCATGTGCCGCGATCTCGACGACGAGGACGCCTGGCGCAGAGGCGCCCCCATCGCAAAGGGCATCATGCAAATCCAACCTAGCGACTTCCTCTCCCAGATCAACACCATGACCACCACCGGCAGCAGCTTCATCCGCAAAGCCGTCAGCGCCGCCAGTTTCCTGACTTACTTCACCCGCCGCTCCATGTCCCTCTTCCTCGCCCCTCTCACCCCCCTCCAATACCCAACCCAAACGTTTACCGGCTTCACAAACGACACCAACCCCGACAGCTCCTACGCCATCGTCGCCTCGGACGGCGTAACAACCCGCATGCACAAATGGGAGCCCACCCACGTCCCAGAAGGCCACCAGGTAAAAGACCTCTTCATGATCCCCGGTGCGAGCGTCGACCACCAAATCTTTGCCCTCCCCACCATCCCCTTCAACGCAGTCAACTACTTCCGTCGAGCAGGCTACCGCGTCTGGGTGTCCGTCCACCGCATCGGCCAGCTCATGATCGCAGGCAACAACTGGACAACGTTTGACGCCCGCCTCGACCTCCGCGCCTGCCTGGAATACATCCGCAAATCCCAGACCACCACCCTCACCCCCAAACTCGCCTCCCCGGAAAAAGTCTACTGCGTCGCCCACTGCATGGGCTCGGTAGCCTTCTCCTCCGGCCTCCTAGACGGGACAATCCCCCCCTCCTGGATCTTGGGGATAAACTGCTCACAGGTATTCATGAACCCCATCTGGGGACCCGCCAACATGGCCAAAGTCATGGCTGGCGGTCCTTTGCCTCTTGACAAGTTATACAACGCCGTCTGCGGCTCTTGGTTCAGCTGCTCGACGAGCAAAGACGAGGGATGGGCTCAGTATCTCCTTAACCAAGCCCTGAGGTTATACCCCCAATCCCGCAAAGAAATGTGCAACAATGCCGCCTGCCACCGAACTTCGTTGGTGTTTGGTCGGTGCTGGAACCACCACAACCTCAACGAGGCTACACACCGGCAGATCGACCGGTTTTTCGGGGGGGTGAACATGCGGTTGCTGAATTTGCTCATGAAGATGGGCTACGAGGGTCATGTCATGACCAATGCGCCAATGTATGAACCCCTGGACACGAGGGAGAATGTCCAACGACTAAAAGGGATACCGATCATGCTCTGGGTGGGGAGGGACAACGCTGTCTTGTCGCCCGAGGCTACCGAGCGGACGTACGAGGTGTTGTGCAGCCAGTTTGAGGACGGGGATTACAAGCGCAAGGTTGTGCCGGGGTATGGGCATCTGGATGGGTGGATGGGGAGGAACGCGTGGAGGGATGTGTACCCGTTTGTGAGGGAGGAGGTGGACAGGGTGGTGAGGGGGGAAGGGTACAGGTTTGAGGAGCCGGATGATGAGTTCAAGGCGATGGTGCACGGGAATGAAATTTATTATTAGGGGGCGTGTTTTCTTGTTTCTTTTTTTTGGGCGGGGGGGGGCGGGTTTCTTTATATATACAGACTGAAAGGGATTTCAGTGTTTCTCTTTTTCCATCTCAGTTGGATACCCATTATTATATATGAAACACCAAATACGGCCGACATATCAGCGTTTGGTTTTCCCTTTTTTTCTCCACACTATGTATCACCTCTACGGCAGTCGGGTCATTGGAACAAACAACTAGGTCGATAGATAGCAATGGCAGGACCATCTCGAAACGAGCTTTTGCTCAACCATCAAAACCGTTTTTTGTATTTCTCGTCATCCCTTCCTTGCCCTTATATCTCTTCCTCTCATGTCTATGTCCCAAGTTGTCTACATAACACAACACTCCAACCCATACATGGCCCTCTCTACCTCCCTCTTCACCTGATACCAATCCGCCCTCCTCTCCGCATACTCATACACCTCCTCCGCCCTAAAGATCCCCCCAAACCTGTCCCCATCAGCAATAATCGTCGCCATCTCCTTGGCATGCTTCGCATCAATCAGATAAATCTGGCTCAGCTCCCTCAACGCCTTGAAATACGCGAGCAAGTCCTTGTTCTTGAGCGTGCGGATGTACTCAAAGTAGAGATTCATATCCGCAATCAGCTTGATCGCCCCCTCGGTGCTGATCCGCTGTCTCTTCAGATGCTTGCACACCGCCGTAAAGAGCCGGAGTCCAACCTCGCCGTTGAACACATCAAGCATCGACTTGTCTGTGCTGCCCACCAACATCGAGGTGTGCGACGCTACCAGATCCTTGATCCTCTGCGCTGTTTTTGAAGGGCCAATGTCCATATCTATCGCCCCCGCCGGTGGCTTCGGAGCAGGCGCCTTCTCCATCCCAGGGATCGTCCCTGACAGAATGGAATCAGGAGCAGAGATACCCCCCGGGTTATAGTCCGTCGGCGACTGAGTAGTGGCGCAAATGTATTCCACCTCGTCCATGAGCACGTCGATGCCCTTATTAAGGCCGGCGGCGACGCTCTCGTCGAGCATTTGCTCAAACTTTTTCTTTGCCATGCCCGCAGGATCCAAAAAGTCGTTTCTGTCGGCAATTTTCGGCTGGGCGAGCTGTTGCTCGTAAAAGACGTCGATCATCTGGGAGATGAGGTCGCCCACGTTGACCAGCTCGATAAATGTGACCAAGGGGGCCACGCCTCCCTTTTCGTGTTCGCTGACCTCGCGGGGGTTGTATTGGGATAGATGGGTGACGGCCTTATCGAAACCAGGCTTGACGTGGCCGTTGCCGAGGATGCGGAGGAGCGTGACGAAGATGGTTTCGCACATCTCTCGCGCCTCGCCGCCGACTTGGCCTCCAAGCTGGATGAAGACAGCGACACGACCTAGGCTGGCTTTAGCTCCGTGAACCAGGCTGAGCGCTACCTCGATGCTGAAGAGGGATTTGATGCCCTCCAGCCGAGACGTCATCAGCGCCGCCTTGGCTGCCAATTCATCCGCAAATGCTTTGCCTGGTAATGGACTGCTGGCGCGATCGCCAGGAGTGCCCGCTGGCGCAGGAGACCCTGCCCGACTCGGAGTCGACGGTCCACCATTAGCAGCCGCCGTCGCAGCAGGTTTACTACTTGCAAACGGCGACCCTATGGGCAACCCCAGACTCGTAGGCAATACCGTAACAGGCATCATAACCACCTTCTTGAACGACGTCAAGAAGTCCTTCTTGTCCGCCTGCCGGTTCGCAAAGCTGCCCATATAAAACGACTCGGCACTCGCCTCCTGCTCCGACAACTTCTTCTCCCACTCCCCCACCTCCCTCTCCGCCTGCGCCGTAAACGTATCGATTTCGTCCTGAAAATACAAATCAATATGCGGCTCAAAGATCCTCAACGCTATCTCCTTCGCCTTCGCCTCCTGATCCACCTCCCCTCCCTTCGGCGGCGTCAGCGTCCTCAAGAACAACATCGTCTGCTCAAAAATCCCCGACACCGCTCTCAAATAACTCGGTATACTCCTCTGATGCGCATCATCAAACAAAGGCGTGATATACTCGACCATAATCTCCTCCCTGACCTTATCCACAAACCCCCAAAACACCCTCTGCGGCCTCGGGAATATCCTCCCAATGATCTCACCCTGCTCATTCACCTTCCTCCCCAACACCTCAAAAAACCTCCTCGACGGCTCCAGCGTGATACTATCCGCCATGGCCTGATTCACACAATCCATCGCATTCGCCAGCACCTCCCTATCCGCAAAAATCGGATGCTTCTGTATAAACAGCTCTACCCCCGCACTACTCCCCGGATTCAACACCTCCAATACATGCGCATACTTTTTCATCCTCCCATCCACATCCCAAAACTCATACCCCTGCTCAAACTCCCTCAGCACCGCGCTCTCAAAAATCCCCGTCATCCCCTCCAACTTCTCCCTCCTCCCCTCCGCCCCATCCGCCCAGTCACTCCTCGCAAAACTCCTCAAATTAGCCAGCATCCTCGCCTGCCGATCCGGATCCCTAAAAACCTTGAAAACCAACGGATCCGTATGCGTCCTCGCCCTGACCAAATCGAAATAAAACGGCGCCAACGCCCCGTATATCCTCCCATACTCCTGCCTCGCATGACCCCTTATACTCCTCGCGTTCTTCACCACCAGCAACAACCCCTCCACATCCCTCGGCGGCTCCCCCCCTGACCCTCCTCCAGAAACTTTCATCGTCTCAAACCCATCCCTCAAATCAGAAATCTGCTGTTTCTGCAGCTGTATCTGCAGCAACTCGTGCTGTCTCCTCTCCTGTTCTAAATCCGCATCAAAGAATAAACTCTCTCTTTTTGTTGTTCCGGTTGGTGATGGGGGTGGTATCGGCTGCCCCCTCCCAACCCCACTGCTAATAGTTTGTTGTCGTCTCCTCTGCACCGCCTCCTCGAATCTTTTTCTCGCTCCCGCCTCGTCCCAGACACCCATGCTCTTTAACCGCGCCACCCAGCGTGTGTCGTCGTAGACCATCTCCTTGTACCGGCGGGACGTTCGGGCGAAGCGGAGGAGGTCCGGGACGGGGAGGTAGTCGAGGATGGTGGCGATGATTTCTACAAGCACATATCCATCAGTTTATGTTCCTGAGGGCCGGGGAGGGGGGGGGTTAGAAAGAGGGGTGGTGCGTACCAGCCGGCAAAACAGGCTTCGTGTCCAACATCTCGGTCGCCTGCAGCGTCTTCAATATACTCGTCGAGTGCTGATGGTATTTTTGCCCCGCCGTCGTCGTCGTCGCGGCAGTCATTTTTCCCGTTCCAACCCCGCCCGTGGTGGGCGCTCGTCGGAGGGGGGTGATGTTCGACATTGCCAAGGTCTTTTGGATCACTGCCAATGAATCGTCTGATGGGATTACAAAGTTAAGAAAAGAAAAGGGATCATAAAAAAAGCATCAGGTCATGACATCGTGGAGCTTGAAAATAAAACCAAGCAAAAGGCGCTGAAGACTGGTTGATTACAGTGTTGGGCGTTCTGGCGACGTCGAGCTTGATGTAAGCTTCAGTTATTATGGTTGGGCGAGGCCGCATATTACGATTCCGATTTCAGGGGATGAGACACAAGCCCCAGCCCGCTGCGGGGAGGCTGACCGCTAAAGCGGCCGTCGGGATGACGGGTTACGGAACGGGGCCGCGTATTACTTCGGTGGCAGGTGGGGCAACTGGTGACAGCTGTCGGGCTGGATATATAAGTCCCCTAAACCACCACTAGCAATGATAAAAATCCACCGACCAAAACCGTATGTATTTCGCTCTTTCGCCCCCAACTCCTCGCTGGTACTGTACATAACTACATAAACCCAACACATACATAGACTCGCCCACTACAGCTCATCATGACCGTGCTCACTCCCCGTGGCCTTGGCACCACCCTCCAAGTCCTCCATGGTCATAATCTTGACCACCAGGCTGGTCCAGCCAGTGAAATGCTGTGTTCTCTGACCCTTTCCAGTGTCGGGGTTGTACTGCTCCCAGGCAAACCCAGTCTCCTCCCAGGCATTGTAAATCGTCTCAACCAGGTTCTTGCGCAGGCGCGAGTACAAGTCTCTGGCGACCTCCTTGTGCGGCCCATCTTGTGTCGCAACGTACTATGAAACCCGAGTTAGCTTGTCATACCTGAACAGTTTCAAGACCAAAAGACTTACGTGAAGCTGCTTCACAGCCATGTAGTTGATGTTGATCCAGATGGGACTCCGCCAGTAGTTCTCGGCCGTCTCATAGAGAGCATCCTTCTTGCTGAGACTGCGCAATCCATAGGGCGTCCAGAGCTCCTCCTCATCGCCAATCAAGGCCAGAATCCTGCCAACCTTGGGGTCGTCAGGCTTCATCAAGCCGGTCAAGAATGGGAAGAGAGAGATGTAGCCCTTGTGGCAGACGAGCTTGTTCTCCTCAAAGTCGTCGATCGTGGCATCGCAGAAGCACCCATCCGTCTCGGACCAGTGCAGGTCGACAAGGTTGTGCTCAATAGCGTCCAAAATGGTCCTGTACTCACTGACATCCTCCGCAAAGCCGAGAGCATCGCCAATGTTGGAGAGTGACTTGGCCATGAGACCAACCCAGGACATCAAGTCAACGTGCAGCTCCCCAGGATGCGGAGGTTGAGGGCGCGGGTAGTCATCCAGACCGCTGGTCAAGCAGTGAGTAGTGGTGCGGCCGCGCCATCTGTAAGCTTCCTTGGTGGAGTATGCTTCTCTGTCGTAAGACTTGATATCGCCCTTTTGTGTCTTTCTGAACCATTGGAACTGGCGGCGGAGCAGCGGGTAGATCTTGCGTAGATAGTCGAGGCCAACCTCGGGGTTCTCGAGCGAAGCGTTGGCCAAAGACTCACTTTGAGACAGGCGTTCCTTGTGGACAGCCGCGGTGCCGTTGGTGTTCAGCAGTCTTTCGACAAACTGCTCAACAACGAGGAAGAGAGTAGGCGGGTTGGCATAGTGTGGGTATTGAGTCTGGAACTCCTGAGGGACCTTGCTGCGTGCCTCGGCGCCCAAGATCTGCTCGCGCCCGATCCAACCGTCTTCATCAATGAGGTTAAACCAGCTTTTGATGACCTCCAGAGCAAGATCAGTGTCCCAATCCGCAATAGGCAGCAGGTGAAAACCCTCATCCCACAAGAACCCGCGAGGGAAGAATGGACGTGAAGGAACACTGGTGAAAAGCTCATGCGGCCCCTCCAAAGCTTCCGCATGTCTCGCCCTAGCCTCGGCAGCCTCCTCCCAGAAGCCCTCATCAACTTCATCATACTCTGGCGCATAAGACCGGTCCACCACTGCCTGCCCATAGAAATACCCAATCCCACCAATCAAGTTCGAAAACATGCTCCGGCCAAACTTCTTGTACTTGTCCGCATTAAACGGTGCCTTCAGCGCAAACACACCCCCAAACCTCTCCCCAAACTCCTCCGAGCCAGCCTTGATCTCCCTCGTCAGATCCTCACTCTTGAGCTCCATACCCGCACTCTCGCTAGAGAAGAGCACATCAAACTCAAAGTCCCCCTCGAAGACCTTTTGCACAATGTGCACATTCCCCTTCCCCGGCCTATTCTGCAGCGTGAAAACCTGCCAGACCGGCGGCGCATGCTCGGCATTATCATACTTGTTCTCCACCAACCAATCCACCTGCTCCTTCAACTGTCTAAACACATATGCGTCGCCTGCCAAATCTGCTCGTCCGGATA